ATGAGTACCTGGTGTGGTGTGTAAACATCGCCACTGGGAAGACAAAGGCGGTCGGCCGCGGTGGTTGTCACCCACCCCCTCGTGTGGTGGCCTTCATAGGCGCTCGCAAACAGCACTTGCCTTAATAGTCCGTGAAAGGCATTAAGGGCGATCTTTGTCTTTGAATATATAAATGTACCAGCTTTACTACCCGGCTTCGCCCGGGACTTGGATTCACGACGCCCGGCCGACTTTATCCCCCCAGTGGCGATGTTCACACACCAGTACCCTAGTTTGAGGCTCAGTCGACCTAGGGGAGGCCCAGGACCGATTCAAATAATCGTCACCGGTGGTGGCCGTGAGCGGGAATCGAACTCGGGTCGCCGGGTTCGTAGCGCAGCACTACAATGCGTTACGCTTCCACATGCGCGGGTCACGTGACAGATTTGACGTCATAGCTCACTTGCCGTGCAAAAAATTAAGCAATATTGAGCTCCCCCTCCCCCCCAAAAAAGCAAAAGTGTATTTTAATACATTTTTCATGGTGTACAGTCTGGAAAGTACCCACATGGCAAATTTGTCGTTTGTTGCATGTCGGGAAGAACGCTAAACATTTTTAACAGACACACATATTCACAACTTTGCCTTTTATATATATGGAGATGTGTTTTCCTTACTAAACACGTCTTTAGTCTGCCAGGTCGTAAATGTGACAGCAACAGCTGCTCTCTATGGAATGAATTCGGTTCGTGGTTTGTAGCAAACGGATGCGAAAGTGGTTAAGGTGAGTCGTGGAGAGTGTATCATCATGATTATCAGCGATGTTTATCCACTGCTGGATGAAGGTTTCTCTACGCTTTTGCCATCCCTTATGGTCGCGCGATGCCACAATCCATCTCGCTCCTGCACATGAGCTGATCTCATCATTACAACTCTGCAGGGGTCCACCCTGTCGGACACGTTACAGTGAGGGAAAAAAGTATTTGATCCCCTGCTGATTTTGTACGTTTGCCCTCTGAGAAAGAAATGATCAGTCTATAATTTTAATGGTAGGTTTATTTGAACAGTGAGAGACAGAATAACAACAACAAAATCCGGAAAAACGCATGTCAAAAATGTTATAAATTGATTTGCTTTTTAATGAGGGAAATAAGTATTTGACCCCTCTGCAAAACATGACTTAGTACTTGGTGGCAAAACCCTTGTTGGCAATCACAGAGGTCAGACGTTTCTTGTAGTTGGCCACCAGGTTTGCACACATCTCAGGAGGGATTTTGTCCCACTCCTCTTTGCAGATCTTCTCCAAAGTCATTAAGGTTTCGAGGCTGACGTTTGGCAACTCAAACCTTCAGCTCCCTCCACAGATTGTCTATGGGATTAAGGTCTGGAGACTGGCTAGGACACTCCAGGACCTTAATGTGCTTCTTCTTGAGCCACACCTTTGTTGCCTTGGCCGTGTGTTTTGGGTCATTGTCATGCTGGAATACCCATCCACGACCCATTTTCAAGGCCCTGGCTGAGGAAAGGAGGTTCTCACTCAAGATTTGACGGTACATGGCCCCGTCCATCGTCCCTTTGATGCGGTGAAGTTGTCCTGTCCCCTTAGCAGAAAAACACCCCCAAAGGATAATGTTTCCACCTCCATGTTGACTGTGGGGATGGTGTTCTTGGGGTCATAGGCAGCATTCCTCCTCCTCCAAACACGGCGAGTTGAGTTGATGCCAAAGAGCTCCATTTTGGTCTAATCTGACCACAACACTTTCACCCAGTTGTCCTCTGAATCATTCAGATGTTCATTGGCAAACTTCAGACGGGCATGTATATGTGCTTTTTTGAGCAGGGGGACCTTGCGGGCGCTGCAGGATTTCATTCCTTCACGGTGTAGTGTGGTGACTATGGTCCCAGCTGCCTTGAGATCATTGACAAGATCCTCCCGTGTAGTTCTGGGCTGATTCCTCACCGTTCTCATGAGCATTGCAACTCCACGAGGTGAGATCTTGCATGGAGCCCCAGGCCGAGGGAGATTGACAGTTCTTTTGTGTTTCTTCCATTTGCGAATAATCGCACCAACTGTTGTCACCTTCTCACCAAGCTGCTTGGCAATGGTCTTGTAGCCCATTCCAGCCTTGTGTAGGTCTACAATCTTGTCCCTGACATCCTTGGAGAGCTCTTTGGTCTTGGCCATGGTGGAGAGTTTGGAATCTGATTGATTGATTGCTTCTGTGGACAGGTGTCTTTTATACAGGTAACAAGCTGAGATTAGGAGCACTCCCTTTAAGAGTGGGCTCCTAATCTCAGCTCGTTACCTGTATAAAAGACACCTGGGAGCCAGAAATCTTTATGATTGAGCAGGGGTCAAATACTTATTTCCCTCATTAAAATGCAAATCAATTTATAACATTTTTGACATGCGTTTTTCTGGATTTTTTTGTTGTTATTCTGTATCTCACTGTTCAAATAAACCTACCATTAAAATTATAGACGGATCATTTATTTGTCAGTGGGCAAACGTACAAAATCAGCAGGGGATCAAATACTTTTTTCCCTCACTGTAACTCCTCTGTCTCCTTCCTCCTTCACGAGTCTTGACCATCCCTCTTTGTGACATGTCTCGTGACGCGTCTCGTGACGTACCTCGCCCAAGTCGACTGTCATTTTTGGACAGTCAATATGATGTTTCTTGATTTGAAGCTTTCGTGACTGCAGGAATCCATACTCTTTGGGTCTTTCGGTAAAGTCACGTAGATAGTTAAGTAATAAATCACGACGTTTCGATCGCAACACAAGCGACCGTCTTCAGGTGAGAGAGAAAGCTGCTGAAACAAGGTCTTATGTAGGGGTGCAGCCTCAGGGTAAGAGGGCGGGGCTAAATATGGTCTGCCTGAGGCTGTGGAAGTGGCTATTGTATTGTGAGAGATTAGCATGTCAATGCACGAGCTTAGTATGCCTCAGCATCGGTGACTTGCCTAATATATCGTAGCATCGGTGACTGAGCGAGGACATCCAGCCCGTCAAATAGAAAGACATCCAGCCTAATAATGCAACTCAAAGAGTCAGCTAAAATGATGTTTCTGACTTGCACTTGTTCCTGAATACACTGTGATTCTAATCACGCAGTTCCCCATGCTACTTTGCACACTTTTCAGCCTCTGACACATGTTATTTTCGTCAGCATGTACGTTTCTGATCGATGTGAAACAGATTTTTCGAGAAGTGCATATTAGCTGCTACGACACGTGGGTCAGTGTCTAACTGGGTGTAATTATAAACGAAAACGCAACCCACTTCGCTCAATATTTTCAACTTGAGTTTCCAATCTATATGATTTAAAAGTGCATAGCTCCAGTGGCTTCATAATATCGGAAGGAAGAGCATTCCAGACGGCCGCAGAAGCGCATCTTAAAGCTCAGTCATTGCATCACGCGATTGAGCTATGCTCTTTTAAAACTAGATTCAAAACTAATTTCTTTCGAACTACTTTTTTTGTGTCTAGCTTGTTGTCCTTCCCCCGCACCTCCGATAAACATGGTTGACACACGTACGGTGCACAAGAAGTTCAACGTATATACACGTACAATATTTAATATCTTCCTTCCATACATGCGTGTAAAAATCATAAAAAAACATTCCCATCAAATTATTAACACAAGCCTGTTATACACATATATTTTAAGTTACGAGATACAAGCTTATCTATATGTCCAACCAACCTACGGTATTTGAATCCAGACACCCGGGCACTGGTTCTGACTGACAGACCTGTCAGGTGCAAAATAGCAAGACGTCTCTCGTTCGCCCCCAGGATTTACGACATTTCCACCCATACGCCTTATTTCAATTTGGCCGTAAATATACACTCCGCGTCTGGCGCTTGTGATGGAGTGGCTGCCGGTCAGCTCGTAAGATTTCTCCGTTGAGCAAAGCAAGTGGCAGGTGAAATGACACCGTCGCGAAGGCAAAGGCAGCGCACTCGGGCCGCCAGTTTGAAAGTGTACATCGCTGGTTTCACTATCGCTCCTGTGATCAGAAAACCGAAGAGCAAGTTTACACACCAATGCGCCATTAGGGGCAATTTATATGTATCTGCCTTCCGTTTCTTAGAGAGTGGGGGGGGGGGGGGGAATGAATTAGCCTTATTACAGTTTTGCCAAACAAATACACATTTTGTAAATAAAAGTTTGCAAGAATAATTTCAAAAGCATCACATTGCATGCATGCTTTTGTTTACGTGGTTCTCATTATTTAAGGTATATTTAGGCTTTGAAGTCGACTTCCTTCTAGCGGAATTGTGCAGCGCTGAGAGTGCATGCAAAATAAACAAAAAATTATTCCATTTAGCATAGTTTATCAGATTAAAAACTGGGTGTGTGAACAGTTTGCAAAGCTGAGAGAAAGCTGTTTAGAAACTGTCCTTTTAACAACAAAAAAACTAAATAAGCCCAGGACCAAAACAATATATAATTAAGCGGGCTCCGTTAACGTATACATTTTTTTGACACGGTTCTATATCCTATCACTGCAAATGAAGTCCCCATCTCGAGCAGCGGATCGATGCTCATCAAATATTGAAACCCTTGCAAGTTCAATTACCGCGAATATTCCACGACCGTCAGGTGCGGCGGAGCAGGCGCCGCAAACGCGTTCCAAACTCGCCTGCCCCCCTCATCATCGTGACCATCATCGTCACCATCATCATCGTCGTAACCATCATCATCATCACCATCATCATCGTCACCATCATCATCGTCACCATCATCATCGTCACCATCATCATCGTCACCATCATCATCACCATCACCATCATCGTCACCATCATCATCATCATCGTCACCATCATCATCATCGTCACCATCATCATCATCATCGTCACCATCATCATCATCACCGTCACCATCATCGTCACCATCACCATCATCGTCACCATCATCATCGTCACCATCATCATCGTCACCATCATCATCATCGTCACCGTCATCATCATCGTCACCGTCATCATCATCGTCACCATCATCATCATCGTCACCATCATCATCGTCACCATCGTCATCCCATGATGCTCTGCGGTTGTCCCTCAATACGTCCCCCCCACCCCCGCTAGCGAACGTTGCCTACCCGCAATTGAAGGCGCTGGAGGCACTTCCGCGACGCGCCACTCACACGTGCGCGCGGGGCGCCGCTGTGAGAACAAGCCCGCGTCAATAAGACATCGAGTGAGGTCAGTCTCTCAATCTCCTTTCGAGTGCCGATGCGCGTTAAAAATTCAACCGCCCGCGTTCTCCGATGGCACGGGCGTGCGCATTAAAGGTAATCTGTTTGCCTTGGAGGGGGAAGGCAGTTTGGCCAGTCGCCACTCGCGCGGTTCGCTTCGGCATCGCTCCGTGTTCTCCCAAGCCGCTGCTTGCCCTGCTAGACCGTCGATGATTATTGAGCACAGCTTTCCTGTTCTCGTTGCCAGTTAACGCATTAGGGAACACCCACTGGGCATTGAGCGGAAAAGGTTGCGCTTACAATCTTTCCTACCCCCCACCCCACCTATTTTCTTTCAAATTTAATAAGTAATAAAGGCTGGAATCAAATCAAGGGTGATCACAAAATGAATTTAAATGCCGTTATCGGCAGCGCTCGCGCATCGCCGCCGCACGCGCGAGGCACGGGGGATGAAATCCCGCGCCGTCGGTGACTTGGGCACGCCCGGCCCAAACGACGCGCTCGCTGATGACTGCTCAGCCAGAATCCCCCACCCCCCTTCGCCCCGGTGGGCTTTCCTCTCCCGGGAAGCCGCATTTCCCCGTGGCGCACAAATGTCAAACATTACACAGCCACTCTCCTCGGCCATTCCTCCCATGGATAAAAGGTTTCCCTTAAATCTGGGGAGGAGCAATAAGCACCACTGGATTACCTCGGCTGTCACGGGGCCATTACTGCCGGATGAAAGCACTACACAGCAGTAATAACCCGCCTGCCCTTTAGCTATTTGCTTCAATTCAATCAACATTGTTTTAGTAGAAAAAAAATCTGACTGATATTTTATATACATGTATAGTATAACAGCTAGAGGTGAGATTAAGAGAGGGTGCGTTCCTCTAGCAGTTGTTTATCGTGGGGTTGGCCCAATTTGAATGTTTCCTTCTTCGGATCCCCACGTATTCCCCAGAATGAGGACTCTGTGTGAAGGATGTGCGATTCGTCATCACGATCAATCCACTGCCGGATCTTCATCGTTGCTGCTGCTGACGATTTATTAGTCGCTGGGACCTGACTTGCATCAACACGATAGATTAACTTTTGAGAGCAGTCACGCTGTTAAAATGTCACGGTTGGACTTGACGATGTCAAAGGTTACTCCACGGCACAAGCGAGCAATGCTGTGTAAGCCATATGAAATACGAGCTGCGGCAGGGTCATTGGCCCTGTCTAGCCATTGTGGCCCAGTACGGAGAGGTGTCAGCCTTGTGCTGCCAGCCATGCGGTTCTATTTAGATGCTACAGACATCCAAACTACTCTTCGGTTTTTGTAAATCTTGACCAATTTGCGAGAAACTACCCAAAAATTATTCACTTGAAATCTACATAGCCATCCTTGTTTGCATGCACATATGTTGAACTTCTTTTGCATCGTATGTAGTCAACCGTGTTAATGCGAAAACGTAGCAGGACCCTCCTGACAAAGAGGCATGAGACCCAGTTTGGCTTTCCTGCGTAAACTCAGCGCAATAATAGCGACGATCATATACATAGTTAGACGTAAAAAGGCAGAAAAAGTGTGCGATCATAATGATGATGACAACAAACACCTGCCTGGAAATAAAGGCACACGACCATGATTATAGTGTGAGTCAGCAATCCGTTACACGGGTGGTGGTGGGTCCCCATCGAGAAATCTCAATCATCACTGCACGCTATTGAATATTTTTTTTTGCTCACTCTCTGGGTAAGGTCGTGCCCTCTCAAAAAAAATCTAGGTTGCATTTCGGAACCAAAAATTTATTTGAATATTCTTCATTGTGCCTTACCCCCATCCTCGTACTACTTTTCTTTATCAAGTTATAACCAGCGTAACAAAAATTGTATTCATGAACAGTGAATTGATACATGCAAGTATTTCTCGGACTACCACCGCACGCGATAGACTAGCAATGCTCCGAATATTTCTCAAATGTACAACGATGGGCAGAAGCAGGGGCGCAGCAATGAGAGCACTGCGCTCCCAACCTAGCCGCATAAGTTCTCAATTGCCAGCCACTGCTGACATCAGTTGCAAGCGATAGTCGGAACTGGACATCTGTGAAAAAGAGCTTTATAGCTCATAGAATTCCTCCAGTATAAATCGATATTCTGCTTCTGCTGGGGTTGGCCCTGCACCACTGGACGTCCCCTTACCCCCCCACCCCACCCCAAGTTCACGCTCCCTAGCGGTGAACATCACTGCTGTGATGGCCCCCCACGCAACATCTCTACGGCCCCCTCCCCTCCCATGTCCCCCACCACCCTAGCCCTCCCCCGGCCCCCACCCCCAGTCCCCGCCATCCAGAACTCCGATCATCCTCGCGGCCGCGGCTTTTGGCGGGCCATCGCACAAAGACGGTGGTCAACGCATCACGGACTCCCAGATGCGTTTACGCGGCCGTCTAGAACGCTGCCCCTTCCCGATATTAGGAAGCCACTGGAGCTACGCACTATTAAACTTCCAGATTTAAAACTCGTTTGCTCAGAACTGCCTTGTTTGTTTCGTTTATTGTCCTTCCCCCACACCTCCGATTAGCACGGTTGGCTACGTACCGGTGCAACAAGAAGTTCTACGTAGTGTGTTCCAACAACCCCCGAATGACTGACACAGCCTTCATGCAGCAGTAGCTTGACAAAGGGCAGCGCTGTTTACGCCGTGTTTATACAAACACATCAAACGGCATTATATTAAAAACAAAAATCTTGAATAAATCACGAAGCCTACGGTGCTTTCATTCGGCAGACTTTGTGGCAGAGGATATTTTGCCGACGAGCAAATGTGTGCTTGGGGCTCAGGTGTGCCGGAAATGGGCCACTCTTCCGAGACGCTAGCCTTGTGATAATGCGCGTGAAGTTTCCTTGAAGCCGGCACGTTCATTCGTCCAGGCGGCAGCTGGAGCCTCAGCTTGAGAGCAGATGTGAGGCGGGGGGGGGGGGGGGGTTCTGCACGCGAAGACCATGGGATAACGATAGCCACGTGCGTTTTGGGTGGCCGCAGGAGAGAGAGAGAGACAGACAGACAGAATGAACCAGCGAGTGAGAATTACTGCAGGGTGAAGAGAGAGAGAAAGCAATGCTTCGCAATAGCATCGATGTCGCTGCTGGCTTTGTGAATTGAAAGAACCAAAGGCATTGATAGTGATACCTTCATACATTCAACGTTGCCTCTTTGGAGGCGAGTTGTTGTTAGTTCAAATGTCCACTGTTGTGTTGCAGCCAGCACAGGGAAATGCAACGGTACGAGAGTGAATGCACGGAGTTTGCAGCGCGCTGCTGTTTGCATGCCAACACACGTGCCTGGGATTCCGTAGAACACCGCAGTATCATTTGAAGGCGTGTGCATCGGTGGTATTTAGTGGCTCATCTCAGAGGCTAAGCAGGGATGAGCTTGTGTAGTGTTTGGACCGGTGATCAAGAGCCATAAAAAGGGTTGACATAGGCTACTGCGGGGCTACGTTATTGGCATCAGAGGACGGCGTGGCAAAACATGCATTGTTGTGCTGTACTTCTGCGCTTGCGAAGTCTGTGCTCCCCACCTTCGCTAAACCAGCACTGATTGGCATGGTGAAGTACGCTCAAGCAACACACACAACCCGCACAATCGCGGGGGGGAGGCCGTCATCCAGCAGTGGATTGACTGAATGGCTGTACGTGTACTCAAGCCTCAGGGCCTATCGCACGAAGACAGAGTTGGTCAAATATGAATGCTTGCTGTGGTTTGCGAACGTCGAGTAAAGGGGAGAGGGGGTAAAGCAGTGGGGGGGGGGGGGGGGGGGGGGGGGGGGGGGGGGGGGGGGGGGTGGGGGGGGTTGCCCCCACCACCCCTCTCCTTCCCATGCTGTGATGGCCTTTTAAAAGGTGCTTGCTTACAGCACTTTTCCCAAGCAGCCTAATGAGGGGGATCTTTTTTTTTTTGCTCCACGGACTCTGCAAGCCTATACCTCGTGATATTTCCAAATTAAATCCTGAACACCTTGGGACTGTAAGGAGTGGGTGGGGGGGGGGGGGGGGGGGGGGGGGGGGGGGGGGAGATTCATGGAGCAGAGAGGGTGTCGCTTCTCGCCTTCTCTTTGGGGGGGGGGGGAGCGGGGGATCATGGTTAGGGATGACCCCAATACCGCTCGGGTGTGCGTCTCGACGGTGGGGGAGGCATCTGGAAAGTGAGGAGGACAATCTTCTTCTTCTTCATCTTCTTCGGTGCCACCGTCCAAGGGTCTTCTTCTTCCACTCCCTTCCGCTTCTTCAGTCGTTCGGCGCCTTGCAGAGAGATACGCGGCCGAATTTTTGTTCTGAGGCGGACGGGAACGAGTGCTAAAAATTTGGTTGGCCGTGGAGCTGATTGATCTGCCTCGGTGCCACCGTCCAGTGTTCTTGACGAGGTGGGGGCGGTCGGCGGTCGACCATTTCGCTCTCCGTCGTTTTCTTGTTCCGCTCCGCGGTGGCAGGTGGGGCGTCTTTTATGGGCGGACGACGGGATGGGTGCGAGGGCCGGCGGTATAATCGGATATTTTTAGGGGGCATACACACGTCAGGATGTGTCATCGATTTGCCACGTCCAATTCACGTCCAATCATCAATGAGCTGCTGTTTTTTTTTTTTAAAGAACTAACATTATTTTGGGTCCCCACGTTTCTTTTTTTCCCTCCCCCTTCTCCAAGCAGCCTTGTGCTTTCAGAGGGCTTTAATTGTCATTTGCAGACACATCAAAGTGTCGGCTAATCAGGGTGGCTAATTTACAGAGATTAAAGGCAAGACAAGGCTCACTCCCTTCCTTGTGATCAGACAGCTGCCTCTCTCTGCAGGGGTGCAACTTTTTCATCCCCTCCTTTTATTTTCTAATAGCTTAATTAGAAATTCCCTCACATGGTAAAACATTTTTTTTTTATTAAAAACAACTTTAATAAACAGCAGGCTATGGAAAAAAAATATTACACTAAATGTCTAAAATTTGAAAGCGTGGTCTTTTTCGTTGTTGTGTATTAGCCCCTT